AGTATAAATTTTATTTCCAGGTTTTCTCTAAAAATCCTTTACTTTTTTCCCTGAATATTATGGTGATTTTGCTTTTTATAAAAAGCTTAAGTGTTCAGTAATTTGTAACTTAGGACCCGAAAGTTCCTTCTAATATCTACCCAGCAACGCCTCCCCTGCCCCTATAAGTTTGGTAGATTCCTCCAGAATGCTTCCTATGCGTATATTAACGATTATTATCATTTTACAAAAGTGAGGTCATGCTGAACTGCTTTGACCTGCTCTTTTACGTCCCACAGCATTGCGCGTGGGACTACCTCGCTCTCCTTTTACTGTTTGCATAGTATTCCATTCTTTAGACAATCCTCTACTGATGAATTTGGGGGCTAATTTCAGTTTTTTATTATACATAATGCAGTCATGAGCACTCAGGACTACATTTTCATGCATTCGTACTAGTAACGCCGTAGTTAGATTGCTGGAAGTTAAATTGTTGAAGAATGTGAAAAGTTAACATTTTAAAGAATAATACCCAAGTGTTCTCCAAAAACAGTGAATATAAACTTCACCCAGGAAAAGAGTCTTAGTTTCCCCAAATCTCCTTAGCGGGAGTATTAAGATGATTTTTCAACTCTGCTAATCTAGTAGGCCAAAAAAAAAAAAAAATGCTCTCTCACAGTTGACTTTGCATGTTTAAATTGCTAATGCAGTACAGCGTCTTTTGTATGTCTATTGGCCATATAGCCTGTCCCAAATTTTTGTCTATTAATATTATTAATTTGGTCATTTAAAATTTTTTTATTTTTTGGTTATGAGTTCTCCGTAGGCTAGGAAAATTAACTTATCATCTGCCTTATGTAGCAAAATATACCTCTCCTATTTATTGCTTTCCTTTGTGGTATTTTTGCTACTCAATAACTTAGGATTTAATCATAGTCGAATTCGTTTTTTCATTTTTAGCTACTGGGTGTATGACATTCTTAGGAAGGGCTTCCCTAATACAAGATCATAAAAATGTTCACTTACGTTGCAATTTTACACGAGCATTTGAGTGTTGGGTCCATCGAGAGCATAGCCGGCAGGAGGAGAGCAGAGGGGCTTGGTGGCAGGGAGCAGAGACCAGCCTGGGTTTTCCTAAACTCCCCAGTGGGCCCAGAAACTGTTGTTTACCCCCAGGTGGCGTAACTCACAGAGGCCTGTGGCCTGCTGTGTCTTGCAGGCAGTTCCAGAAGGCGGAGAGCCACTTCTCAACGGCCATCCGACACAATCCCCAGGGAGCCCAGTACTACATACACCGTGCCAGGTGCCGGGAGCTCATGCAGAACATTTTTGGGGCCCGCCAAGATGTGGCCACTGCCCTGCTCCTCAACCCTAAGCAACCCAAGGTGGGTTCCAGCTGGGCCAGGAGGGCAGGCTCCAGAGTCAGCATTTCTGGGCACTTGAAAGATATTCCATCCTTAAATGAAATTTGATTCCTTAGCAGATCATGAGCTGCGAATGCCAGGGCATTTACTAGGTGCCAGGCACTCTTCTAATCACTTCGACTCGCATCACTCTGTCTAACCCTTTTCGGCACCCTACGAGACAAGTAACGTTGTTATTACCACCCAATTTATGGATGAAGAGGGTAAGGCTCAGAGAAGCCAGTGTCCTTGTCCCAGGTCACACAGCTTCAAGGTCAGACCCTCATGTCTGGCTCCAGAACCCATGCTAGACGCGCCGTGCACCCTCTCTGAGCAGTTCTTTTCTCATGGTCTCCCGATAGTTCTGGTGCAAAAGGGTCCAGCCCTTTAAACAACAGCTCGTAAGCCTTACCCTTTTAAGCCCTGCGAAGGGACTCTGCAAGAGCAGGGCAGCACCCCACCACCTGTCCCCTGACCGGGCCCACACCTGACTCTGGTCGCCCCCTTTCCTAGCAATTGCTCCGGCTGATGGCTGACCTCTTCCCGGGCATGTCAGTGGAGGAGATACTTAGCAGCCAGATGGCCCAACTGGCCAAGCTGGAGCTGAGTCGGGTGGTGGAGAACAGCCTGCAGGACAGCACCCCTCGAGGCATCATGGGGTAAGTTCCTTGAGCAGCGACTGCAGGCCAGGAATGGGAATGGCTGGAGCTCAAAGCTCCTCTGGCCCCGGCTGCCTCCTCAGGTCACTGTCCAGTCTTGGGGTTGGTGGGGTGAGTCAAGGGGCCTTACCCAGTGCTCTGGGGCTGTGGCTTGGCAGGCAGCTCAGGAAGTGGGAACTAGAGCGCCAGAAAGCCCAGGTCCTGCAGGAGTCCTATAAGCTGGAGCAGCCTCCATTTGAGACCTCTGAGCAGCTGGACGCCACCACCCAGACCCTGCAGGCAGAACCAGAACACCCAGAGGAGGCCAAGGGCCCTGAGGAAGAGGAGGAGGAGGAGGAGAAGGAGGTGAGCGGGCCACACCCAGGGCCTGGGGTGCTTGAGGTCCAGGTGGAGTGTACCCCAAGCCAGGGCTGAGAGGCCGGTTTCTAAGCCTGGCTCTGCCACGGTTCAGCTGTGCGACTTGGGCTGGGGACATCTCACTGTGAGACGGGGATGGTACCAGTGAGGCCACCCCTGAGGGAGTCCACATGAGGGTGTGGGCCCCTCAGAGAGGCCTTCCCAAACTTTTCACACATTCACCTTCCTAAATGCTGCTGTGTGCACTGGCCACTTGTGCCAAAATTTTCTCAATTCTTAAATGCATTTCTAAAAACTTTTTATTGAATGTGACATATAGAAAAGTACAAAAATCATAAATGAACTGTTTGATAGATTTTCGCAAACTGAATACACCCATGATACCATTCCTCAGATCAAGAACACACAGCTCCCAGAAGCCCCTGGTGTGCCCTTCTAGCCCCTCCCCTGCCCAGCCCACCCCACAAGGCTGTCCTGATTGCTAACCCTGCAGAGGAGCATGTGTGCTTACTTGTTCAGGGGACAGATCCCCTGTGCCCTCTGCTCCTTTCACATTAAGCATGTTTGTGAGATGCAGCCAGGTTGACTATTCATTCTCATTGCCACGGAGAATTCCATCCTGTGACTATCCTACAATTTTTTTATCCACTCTACTGCCGATGGACAGCACATCAATTTGTGTTCAAAGGAAATTTTGCACAACTGAAGTACATGGGATACCAGCATCCTTTGCCATAAATGGAAAAGACTAGCTGGACATTTTTCTAGCTCACATTAGAATATAAAAATTAAAGGCTTCGGGAACCCCCCGAAGTCATCACGGGCTCCCTTCCTCAGGGCGATGTTGAGCTGGCACCTGCGCGTTAAGCGCCTCCATTAGCGCTTTGCAGCTCTGCTGTTTCTCTCTGGCTTCTGCACATTCCCCACTGACTGCAGGTGTGAATGGGCCAGGGGAGACCAGCAGCCAAGAGCCGGGCTGTGGAGTCTGCAGACCTGGATTCGAGCCCAGCTTCTCTCCTTAGCTGAGTGCCCTGGGCAGGCTGCTTAGGCGCTCAGAGCCTAGGTTTCCTGGTCCATGAAATGGTTATAGTGGTAGTTCCCTCCCAGATATGTGGGGAGGATGAAATGGGATAAGGCATGTAAAGCATGGAGAAGCTCCTCAATTCCCCGCTAGCCATTCCCCAGGGTACAACACTTTAGTTTACAATGCCTGTCCCACGCTTGAACTAATTTACATTTTGCAGATGGGAAAACTGAGGCCCATGCAGCCTCTTGAACACTGCCTTTCTCACAGCACTCAGCTGGCCACTCCCCTTCCTGTCCAGTCTTAGCCTCTCCATGTCCCCTCTCAGCCCTAACCTGGGACCCTCAAGTGGCTCTAAGCTCAGGGGAACAGCCACTGAAGGTCCCAAGGCCTGCCGGCCTTCCAGGGCTACAGCCCCTGGCCCAGGGCTTCCTGCAGCCTGACTGCCCAGCCTGTCTCCTGCCCTAGGAGAAGCCGGAGCCCGCTCTTAGAAAGCTGACGTCCCTGTCTGACAGCTACCTCGACCAGACCTCTTCGGGCTCCATCTTCGGCTGTAAGTCCCCAGTGTTCTGCCAGGCCTGAGTGAGCCAAAGCAGCAGAGTGGGCAAAGGTCAGGGGTCACAGACTCCCTGACCTGGGGTTAAATATGGGCTCTGCTGCTTAGAGCTGTGTGACCCTAAAGTGGGAATGTCATCCCAGCTTTGCGGGGGCACGCTGAGCCCTCAGTGAGGCCTGCCCAGCACAGGGCCCACACCGGCTGTCACTAGGAGCACTTCGCAGTTGCTGCCTGCTGCGGCCTCACTCCCCTCTCGGGCCCTTTGCTCTCTCTGCCCCCTTGGCCTCTCCCTGAAATCAGCCCACAAACCCTGTGCATATCCACGGGGCTTTTTACCCCCAATTCTACCAGTTGCCAGCATGGAAGGGACAGAAGTGAAACCCCCAGGAATGCTGCTCCAGACAGAGTCCCAAGGGGCAGGTGCGAGCAGTCCAGGGCAGGGGCGAAAATAGTGGCGGCCAGCCCCGTCCTTCCACGCAGTGCAGCTCAGTGCATGGAGCCCCGGGGCTGGGCCTCTGCCGCACGCTGGCTGTGGCCATGAACGGTCCACTTCCTGCCCCAGGCAGCTCTTGGTCCCGAAGGGAAGAAGGCACACAGGTAAACAGATACCAGGACAGTGTAGGTATACAGTAGAGGGCTGTGGGTACAGTTAGCCCCCTTTAGGGGGACAGAGAGGGCATCCAAGACCTGAAGTAGGAGTAGGGGTTAGTCAAGCGTGGGAGGGGTGCAGCAGGGGAAGCGCTGCACGCAGGGTCCCAGGGCCTCGCAGGCCGTCGGTTGTGGCGGGAACACAGAGGGCAAGGGGCAGCCAGCAGAGTGGAGGCCAGGGCTAGGTAAGTGGGACCCTCAGTATCTCCCCCTTATCTACAACCTCGGCCACCCGCGGCTCAGGCTGCTGAGGAGGGCGGGTCTGGCGTGATCTGGCAGGCCTTCCTCTTGGCCATGCAAGGCCTCTGGGATTTAGGCAAAGGGGGAGGCCCAGAAGCCTCCTTTTCCTGGAGCTGCCTAGAGAAGGCAGCCTGACAAGTGCCCTTGGCACTCTCTTCCCAGTCAGGACCCTGTCAACCTCGGAGACAGAGACGTCCACTGCCCCCCAGGAATACAGGAGCACCTCGGTCACCACTGTGACATTCTCCGATTCCTCACTCCTGAAGACTCAGTCCTCAGACTTGGGGAACAACAGGGACCTAAGCCTGAGCCATGGCCCCAGAAAAGCCAAGGCTGCCTGGGGCCAGAGCCAGAGGTCCAGCAAGACGGAGGCCGCCCAGGGCCAGAGCCAGAGGTCCAGCAAGACGGAGGCCACCCAGGGCCAGAGCCGGAGGTCCAGCAAGACGGAGGCCACCCAGGGCCAGAGCCGGAGGTCCAGCAAGACGGAGGCCACCCAGGGCCAGAGGCGGAGGGCACGCAAG